CCCCAAAACCCCAAAACCCCAAAACCCCGCAATGAAGGGAAATTAAAGCTTTAATGTTTTTAGTTAAATTAAAAAAGAAAATGATTTAGTTAGTTATAGGATCATAAAATATCAAAAAGATTATTTTAGAAGTATTAGTTTATTTATAATAGCGTTATAAATGAGAAAAACAACGACAGGGTTTTAACTCTTAGGCTCCTCTTAAAACCCTATTCAATCTCCAAGGTCCAATTCTCCGGATGATATTTTGCTGTCATTTGACGTTAAGCAAATACACACAAAGAAATTGAAGACCCTATAATAAATGAAGAAACTTAATAGGAAATTTACATCCTAAGATAGAATGAGAGAATGCAAAACTAAAGATTCTTCTATTAATACCAGTAATTTAGCAAGAGTTTAATCATAAGAAAATAGCAAAGTTGCATAAAAAGTAATTCCATTAGATGAGTACTTTAAGAACAGTATTTTCAGTAAAGTGTTTGTATCCCCGAATGATAATAGTGCTATCCGGCAGATAAAACTAGGCAAAAAGAATCATTCAGAGAATTAAATATTTTTAAGGGCCTAGTAAAAAAATGGGGACAGTTAAGGATAAAACAAGATCCTAAGAATTCCAGTTTTCGGAGTAATTGATCACAAGATAATAAATTTGAATCAGTCTTAGAGAGAAATTAGAAACAATATAGATGATAAACTTAAGGAAAAGTTGTAGGCAACTTATTACAAGTCTTTTCAAAAAACTAAAAGGAGGCTAGGCAATTCTAGAGATATAGATATTTAGTTGTAAAATTAGCCTATTAATCAAGAGTAATTTTCACCTTCGAAAATGTAAAAAGAGGAAGAAATGCCTGAAGTTGATTTGATTGACAGCAGGCTAGGATTTAATCCTAATGGCCTTAAATTTAGACAGGCAAACTCCTAGTCTTAAACTCACAGATCATCAAGAGCTAAAGATTACAAGCTAAGCGCGTCAATATCAAGCATAAATCCGATGATTATTCAAAATATTAAACCAAATTTTTAGAATCAAACTTCCCCCAGAGACATTCATAGAAAATACTATAGTAAAAGATTTAATGCTTAAAGCAATCTGAGCATTCAAAAAGTTGATTTTGCTTCATAGATGGAACTTGATCCCAGTAAACTTATTCCTACTAAAACATTGCTTTAAGGCAACAAAATTAATGAGGATAATTTGAGTGGATTGCTGATCCCTAATGGTAAATATATCTATGATGAAAATATGAAGAAATTAATTTGCAATAACATCAACAATAGCCACAACTTTACTTAGCAAACCTTCAATACGAGTATATAGAACACACCTTCAAGCCAACAGTTCTAAGTGCAAGTAAGACTAAAGAAGTACCTAGAGAAATCTAAACATAGGCCATAATTCAGTGTTTTAAAGAGTAAACTTCAAGAATTTGATTCACTACTGATTGACACAAAGAATGCATAAGGGAATCGAACGCATAATACGAACACTAGGTAGAATTCCCCGCAAAGAAAAGATAGCTAAATTGATAAGCTTATGCCCCTGAATAATAAATTAGTAACTCTTATAAATAAAAGGTAATCAATTAATATGCCCAATTAAAAACTACAATTAACAATGACCAATCCTAATTCCTAATTTAACTATAACAATAAATTAATAAAGGTACTTGTGGACGAAGAAACCCAAAAAGATTCGAAAGACTAATAAGATTAGCGCAGAATCACACCAGTTATGAGCAAGCATTCTCAGAAACCTTAAATTGAATAACTAATCAGCAAAATTGATGCTAAGATACCTCTTGAAAACATAAACCAAAGTATGAACAGAGAGGAGAGTAAAGACTGTGATACCCCTGATTCGATGTTCACTATGGGATTAGATAGCTTTTAGAGTCCGTTAATAGGGCGTAAGAAGGGTCGGCATTTTAATCAATTAAGTTCAAATAGTAAAAAGAAATATATGAGCAATAACAACAATAATATACTTAAACCGATTTTCACAGAAAGGATTTTTATGAAGCAATAGTATTAATAATAGTGATGCAACTATTATTTCCTTTTGTGAGATTGAATTAACTCTGAAATATTGATACTCGTTCCTTATTATAATATATATTAACTTCAGCTATCGGTTTAATTTACACGAATATATTATTAACTTATAAATTTAATTTCATTAATGAAAGCTTAGAAGATAAAAGAAAACAGAGAAATATCTGTCATGACCACTGACAGTCCAAGAATCATATCTCCAAGGTTATTCGATAGGCACGACTAATAATAATGTAAATATTACTGTAATAAATTAACTTATAGTCTTTTGAGGCACTCAGACGCCTGGAACATTGCTAAATAGCTTTGATGGTCAGCAATTTAACCTTGAGATATAGGTCATCAATAATTTTCACCATCATCATCACTACTACAATTTCCCTTAAGACTCCAAAAGAAGTGTAGTAAAGAAGAAACCCCCTGAGTAAAATATAGATATACTATAATAGATTTCTCCTTGGAGTACAACGACTCTTCAGATCTTAGAGCCGGATTTTTAATCAGCTCTTGCATACAATAAGAAAAATGTTAATAAGCACATCCACAATCACCATGATACAATATTATCTCCGAATAATAACAAATTTCCACTATCCTAGCCTTTGAGGCGTCAAACTGTCAGTAGTAGTAACAAGTAAAATACTATCTTTCAGCATGTCTCACATAATGTGAGTTACGACAAGCAATCTACTAAAAACTCGAACAATATCATGAGCGAAGATCAATAAGAGGAAATGGAATAATCCTTTAGAGTCTAAGCAATAAAAGTCTAGAATTAAGATCTTAAAAACCTGAAAAAAGAAAATTTGTTTTTCTAAGAGAGATATGATAGAAGCCACAAGCCTAGAAAATATATCCCTGATTAAGCAAGGACAATATGCACTTATCAAGATTAGCTGAAAGATTTTAAAGATTATGTTGAGAAAATGTGCCGATCTAACTTTAAGAATATTGATTTTAGAAAGTAGCCACAAACAACTAATAACTCACCTCTTGGAATAATTAAATTATAGAATGAAGAAGAGTCAAGAAGGAATGACAACACTTATAGGACTATGAGGTTAGTAGATAAGAGAGGTAGATTTTCTGGTTTATCTAAGCCTGGACACATCTTAGACGAGAGTAACCTTCGAAATTAAAATGCGAGTACCAATATTAATTAAGAAAAGCACATAAAATGTGAGGGCTTACAGATTAAGCTGGACAGTATTGAATAATAGGATCTAAATAACTAAGAGAGTCATAAGCATCCTAAAAGGTAAAGTCCTTTGGACCTATATAATAACAGCCCAATTAAAGAACCGAAATTTAAGTATCTCAAGGACAGCTAAAAGAGAGAAAGTAGTCCTGCCAATCTTAATGAAACTTTGACATCTAAAAGAAAATCACTAGGAGAGTTATATTAAGATCTTGATTAAATAAATTTCGGATATACTAAAGTGAAGGGATTCATGAATAATAATAATGACATATTTAGTGACAAAAGGGATTACTTCTCAGCTCTATAGAATCCATAGATGCCCAACTAGCTTATGTAGATAAATAATCAGAAATAAGTGAAAACAAGTTATAGTATTAAGAGGAAGAGCCAGAAATTGAATGACATTTAAGAATAAAGCAGTATGATAAGCTCTAACAGATAGACTTAGAAATCTATTACTGATGACAATAAAACCTTAAAGGATGAAGATGGAATGAATTTAGTAAATCTATTGGAATGCCATAAAATTAAAGCCCCTAAACCAATAGTGAAGGTAAGTACAAGACCAAGTAGAGCTTTATCATCAATGACTAATCCTCAAAATTAAGATTACTATCCAAAAGAGAATGAGATCTTCTAAAATCAATGCAATGAATAGCTAATTATAGTTGGGAATAGCAATGAGCAAGTAATAAAAAAAATTCAATTAAAAAAGCAATATGTTCCAAAGAATATGAGTATAGCAGCAAAACTCATTAGAAATAGGCAGCAAAGGAGTATGAACACTTCATTAGACAGAAAGTTAAATGACTCTCAGTTCAGTGGCAGTATAGATGAGCAAAGACACAGTGTAAATGCAGCTGGAAAGAGTGGAAACCATTAAAAACTTATTAGCATTGTTTACCCTTTGACTGATTATGCAATGGGAGTAGAGGATAAAACGATTCATTAAACTCTGATAGGTGATAAAAAACTACTTTCCAAAAAGAAAACTAGAAGTCCAATAAAAGATGCATCCTATATTAGACAATCCTAAGTATGAGGAAGTCCTTGAACTGATATCACTGAAGTACTACAGATATATAGATTATGATTCATTATTTAAAATATATCGAATTCAGAATTATAAGCTGAATTGAATGATTAAAATCTTCTAATGTTAATAAAGTTAATATTTAAACTAAATTGAAAGGATCATTCTAAATAATTTAATAACTACTTTAAATATTTGAATTCAAATATGAAAACAGCTACAACTGTAAATCATCACTTTTAAAGAGCAGATGAGCCTGAGCAGCTACTTGAGGGAATGGCTGACTATTTCGCTCTTCAAACTCATTCAGCAAAGGAAAACCCTAATTTCACCCCTTCTAAAAATAATGGGTGGAAAGTGATATCAAAGGCTATATTTAATTAGCAAGCCCCGTAGCATAAAATATTCAGAGAAAATTTGAAAAAAATAGCCCACTATGATGAAAATGGACGTCTGATTTCTTCAAGAGATACATAGTATGAAAGAAACTTTCACAATACTCACTTAGATCACAGTCATTAATATGATGATAATAAAGAGAACTCAGATATTCAAAATTTCATATATAGAAATCAGCATAATAAAAAAATGGTCAGCTATATTCATAAAACTAAATAAAAACTACAAACACTTAATGACATGAAATCATAGCTAGATACTTTTAAAACTGATAAATCTTGGTATGAGACAATGCTTAAGCCAAAAAGAATGCTTAAGGAGAGGGATCAAAATCAAATCTAGGCTTAAAAGAATACTTTGTCATTAGAAAGAAATAGTGATGATGAATCTGATAATGACCTTCAAGAAAAGAAAGCTTAACAACTTCTTAAATAATAGAAAATCCAAAACATGATTTAGAGGTTCTATTCCCATACAACTAAGTCTTTTGAGGCAAAGAAGTTGGAATCTACCTAATTTAACTAGAAGTCTGAACAAAACTTGATGCAAAAGAGAAGATTTTCCCATTTTGCCGGTAAAATTCAATCTTCTAATAGCTCTCGAATGATTCTTGTGGAATCAAGACCAATGGAAAACAAAACTCATTTGGAAACTATTTCTGAGAGACCAGTTAGCAATCTTGAAAAAATAAACTCAAGAAAATTCTCCTAAAGGAGACATCCCATAAATTTAGATGATCATTCTTTGGGAAGAAATAGACCCAAGAGTTGCGATCTCAGAATCAAAAAGTTTAAGAAAATAGATAAATTAATTTAACAAACTCATACTTAATAGTAATAGAAGTGATTGAATGATTATTATCATTTCACTTAGGAAATATTTTTGATTAACTTTAAAATTGATTTCATCAAAAATATCTAACCATAATTGGATTCATGGGGTTTTGGGGTTTTGGGGTTTTGGGG